TCCCCGCCGTAGTAGCGGCCGCCGGGCATTCCCTCGGAGTACTTGTTCGTGAGGTGGCTTCCCAGCGCTTCCATCACCGCCCTGCACACGAAATTCTCGGACGCTATCAACTCGATGCCGCGAAATTGGCGCTTCTTCTCGTGCTCCATTATCTCGTGGAGGTCGGGGTCCGCGACGGCCAGGGGCTGGCACCCCCAGGCGCGGACGGCGGCGCGGCGCGCGTCGAGATCGGGGTCGACGGAGGGTCGCTTCGTGGAGGAGGAGGATGAGGAGTCGGAGTCTCTTCGCCTCTTCAGGCACATTGAGTGGCCTAGAATGCGAAACTCTTCGACCTCTTTGTCGTCGTCGGAGGATGATTCCACTTCGAGGGCGCCGTTGTCCGGCGGCGGCGGCGGCTCTAGGAGGTTGAGCTGGACCGGAGGGTCTGGGCGGCGCGGCGGTGAGGCGTGGGAGGAGGAGAAGCCGAGGGATAAGTTGGATTGAGGGTGAGAGAGGTCCATGGGATTGGTTAATTAATGGATTAATGGGTGAGAAGAAGGATGAGAGAGAGAGAGAGAGAGAGAGGGGTTGCGATTGGAGAAGGAAGAAGAAGAAGACGAGAAGGTGATTGAGTTGAAAGCCCTAACCTAACCCTAATTGGGATTGGGATCGGGCGGAGGAAGGGGATGAACCTGGACGCTGCTACTGCTTTCTATTTCTCTCTTCTCTTCTCTTCTTTTTATTTATTTTATCTTTGGAAATCACACTCATCGTTTTTCCGCCCAACTTCACAACTCACAACCAAATTATAATACCATAATTTTTCTTCACCATATACAGTATTAGTGTATTACCATAATCTTTTAATTTTTTTAATCATTAATTTCAAATTATACTAAAAATTTTATTTATTTATTTATTGGTAAGGTAAAAATCTTTATTAATCAAATTAATCTTATAAGCATGTAACTCCGTTGACCTCACACAATGAGCCTGAGATAGAACTTGGATTTCAAATTAATCTTAAAATAATTTATTTTAACAATTCTCGCAACATAATTGTTCATTAAAGCACTTTTTTAATTAAAATATATTTGAATGCGCTTATAATGTATTATAAATAAGAAATAATTAATTAATTAATCAGAATCAATAAAAATAAAAATAAACAGTTAAGATAGTTAAATTTTATTAATGGTGTCAACGAATTAAATTTTATTCTAAAAACACTATTTCAAAATTGATTGATTGTAATTGTATTAAATAATGGTTATATTAAATGATATTACACCTAATTAAAGAAATAACTTTTTCATCAATTAATGTAATTTATTTCGTCAATAGATAAATAATTATCTACTTGCATGAGAATATAAAAGAAAAAAAGCAATTAATATATTTTAAAGTAGATAATTATTTTTTATAATTAGAAATAAAAAGTGTATGACTTGTGGAATTTGAGAATTAAAGTTCATAAGGTTTTGAGGCTCTTCTGTGTGTTTGCACTAACAGGCTAGCTTCTATAATATTTTATAATTTAACTATACATAATAATATTATATATATATATATATATATATTATAATAACAAATAATATTGTAATATTTATTTCTATGAAATATAAATATTTAAAATTAATGAGAAAAATACTTATCATGAATTATACATATTACAATTAAGGTATTTTTTAAGAGAAAAATATTTTATTGACTTTATAATAATTATCTTAAAAATCGTATTAATAATTTTTTTTATATTCACATTGGATGACCATTAAACCTAAATTTTAACATTTGACCATTATTTTCTTAGTATATATATATATATATATATTTATTTTCATATAAAATAATATTTTTTATGCCTAGCTATTTGCATATTTTTCACTAATCTATTTTTTAATCAGCCTTTTCATCTATTTATATTATTATTTATACGTGTTTTCCACTCTCGTAATTTTCGTGGGATCATGGAAATGATATTTATATTCTATTTTTTTCCCGGTTATGTACATCAATTTTATATATATATATATATATATATATATATATATATATGAATAAATGGAATTGAGTTGAAATAAAAATATCGTGAAAATGTCAAATTGAATAGGAACAAAAAGAAACATTCCTTAGCTATAGTAGCCATGAAAGCGAAATATATTATGAAACTAATTGAATGACACATATGATACCACTTTGCCTGAATGAGTACACCACGCCGCTGAATAGCCCAAAATAAAACAAAACAGCCCAAGCAACGTTGTATTTTGCAAAAGCTGCTCTATCAAAACCTACTTCTGAACTTTGGTTAAAAATGTGCAAGTATTTCGGCTTGGAACAATATTTCGACGACAAAAATTTTAGGAAATTGTTTGATATTCTTTGCTCTCCCATCAAGATGCAATTGAAGCAAGAATAATGACATATGTAATGAAAAATCACAACAAAACTCAAACTCAACATTTAAAATTAGAAGTCAAAAGAATATCCATGCAATATCTTTTGAAGATACTTTATCCTTTTTTATTTATTTAACGTTATAACACATAGATTAAGAAAAATAATTAATCTCCTCACTTTTTCACAAGATTATTGTAATTTTCTTGCATGTCACTTATCTTCCTTATTTTTGACATTTTCAACACAGTTATTTCTTCATCACAAATCTATCAAACGCATAAATTAATATATAGAAGTATAATCGGATTAAGTTGGTTAATTGGATTTAGTTAAGTCCAAAGATAAAAGAAATTTAAATCTTTTTTAAGAAAATGTTTTGGGAGTTTGAAAATTTTTTGTCAATTAAATTGAGTTGAATTAATCCAATTAGATATGCTTTGATTTGAATTTAGCGATATTATATCTTTAAACAGAGATAGATTTATATGGAGGACAGTGGGGTACTTAATCCCACTGCCATTTTATATTTTTTTTATCTAAAAAAAAGTTATATTCTAATAAAATAATATATATATATATATATATATATATTTTAAATTAATGTGTATAAAATATAAATTTGAAATAGAAGTTTATTTATTTGATATTTATCAAACTTTCGCAAAATATCAATTATCATATGTGATAAAGAATATTCTTTAATAACAAATCAATTTTTGTTAAAGAGTCTACTTATGATATATATATATATATTAATGCTCACATACATGATGTAATATATTAAAAATTTTAATTTTTGATAAAATAAAATTTACAACATGCATGTTTATCTTTTGTACTTTCTATTTATTGTACGGTAAAGATTGTAAGATTGTATACATTGATTAAAAAAATCAAAATAAGAAAGATTGAAAAAATTATGTTTTATTTAGAATTTTTATTATAAAATATGTTTTAAATAAATTGTCATCTAAAAATTTATATTAGATATTAAAAATATGTTTATATCATAAATAAATTAAACTTGTTTTTTTTTTATACAATTTACCATATATTTTTTATATTTTTATCAATGTTAAATTATTATAAAGTAGGTATTTAAAATTGTAGTTCTAACCAAACATTTAAAAAATATCAATGAAAAATAAATAAGTTATATTTAGAATATATATTTTTAAAGAAAGGTATATTCAAACCTACTAACTTATAATATAACATAGTCTGACTTAGTTTATTATCATTCATAACTGTATTTGTAGATATAAAAGGCTGTGAAAAGTGATTATTATGTATATTTATATTTTTAAAAATTATATATAAATTTTTTAATATTATAAATATATGATAAATATTATCCCTACTATCTAAAATTTATGGATTTGTCACTATCTTTAAATATGTTTTATTTTAAAAAAATATATTAAAAACGATAGATTATATTATTCAGTTTAAATAATACAGGTTCAACGTTGAGGCGGGTGTTTTGATTTTAAATTTTTTCAATCCAAAATCTGAATTAAACCAGTTCCAAAAATGATGGATTAGCTAAAACAAATTCTTTTAAATTTAAGTCCAGATGAGATTATATGATTCACAAGCCAATCTTCACCGCGCTACACCCCTAATAATATTACTTTAATCTTTTAAATTAATTCACATCAGTTTAGTTTTCTAGCTATAAAAAATATATATTAATTTCTTCATATATTAGTGATATTTTGTATCATTACGATGCTAAATTAATGCAATTTTCTATAAAATTCAATTCAGAGCACTTTCATTTGTGGGAATTAAATTAATGGAATTTATTTTAAAAAAATGAAATCAATAATGTGAAGGAACAATAAAGTATTGGTTGAAAAAGACATGGCACATATTGAGTAGGGGTTTACTAGAGCTGGGTAAGGCTTAGAGAAGGCCCAAGTGAAGTTAGGTGAGGCCTTATTCTTATACTAATCAAAGATCCATCCAACAGCAACCTACCACAACGCATTTTTCTTCCAGGCTATTCAAGAATGCTCACCAACCCTACCCATCCATAAAACCAGCATTCAAATGCCTCTAGTACATGTACCTAAAGTTCGTCCTATTCAACTCTTACAATCTTACAAATGCTAAATATACATTTGTATTTTATCTCATCTGAATTTTAAAAATTGAAATAAAATAAAGCAATCTATGTTACTATTGCAAAAAGATGTTTACACATCTTAAAGCATCTACAATGGAGCAACTCTATTTGAGTGTTTCCGATGGGATTCACATATACATATCACTCGTTTTTACTCTTCCTCATACAAGTACTTTCAAGTACTTCATCTCTGTAATGGAACAACTCTCTTTGAGTGTTTCTAATAGGTCTCACCAAAAAACTTACATCATTATATTTTACTATGAACTTATTTATTAATTTATATTTATTTATTTATAATTTAATTATTTTTTCTATCATTATTACTAATTAGAAATAAGCATTATGTGCGTCTCTCTATTTTTAAACACAATAAAAATAAAATAAAAGGTGATAATATAGTCAAAAGAGTGTTTGATATTTACAGTAAAATAAAAAAGAAAAAAATAAACTAAATTATTTTTTAAAAGAAATACAATAATTTCCAAATAGTTTTAAATAATTGCACTATCAATACCACATCACTCTATTTGTCTATGACTATGATTAATTTCACCTACCATTATCGATCGTTACATATAATCATTGTCGTTACTATTATCTATTATTGTATTACTTTGATATTATTACTATTGTTATTATTATTATTATTATTATCATTATCATCACTTTATTAATATAATTAATAAAAATTTAATAAGATAATTAATATTAAAAAATATTATAGTAAATTATAATATATATTATTTGTACTATTTATAGTTTAGCAAATAATATAAAAGTGAAAAATAATGACTTGTAGATTAATCATGTAGTGGTTGCCTTTATATTATACGTTAGTATATATTAAACGGAGCTTTAGTTTAGCTTACAAAGATAAAAGACTAGCAAATAGTAGAGTTCTTATAAAGACTGGCAAAGTAGTCGTGTCATGTTGTATTAAACTAGTTAAATAAATTATTAACATCATTCTTTACGTGTAAACTTACTAATTCTAATCTAAGTTGAAATTATCATTTTTTATCTAATGCATATCTAGTAGATTCAATATATTTTATGCAAAGATGGTGAATTAATTACAAAATACCGTAACTTGTTGGTTTCTTGACATGATAAAGTTGGTTGGAGGAAATAGAATGTTAATTCCACTCCAACATTCTCTTGCAGCCAAGCATAGAACATCCCTTGTTAGTGATCGTCATTGTTCTTCATAATTATATTACTATAACTATTT